ATACCAGGTCATTGCTTATGCCCGTCTCCATGCGTGGGTGTAGCCGCCCAGCTCCTCCCGCCTTCGCCTGCAGCAGTGGCACCGCGGACTCGGTGCTTGCCACCTGTCCTGTCTCGTCCACTGTTAATCTAAACCGCACCAGCCGCTAGGGTCACCTTTCTAAAAGGCACCTCTGGTCTCGCTCTAAAACCTCCACAGCCTTCCTGATGCTTCCTGATCCTCAGTCTCTCCTCAGACTCCTCGAAAACAAGGCTCACATGCTGTGCTTTCTCTCTCCCGGCGATTTTGTTCGTGCCCGCCTTTACCTGCCATCAAGCCAAGCCCTTCCCTTCCTGAGGATCCATCTCACATGTCTTTCCTCCAAGAAGCCTTTCGTGGTTTTGCCAACTAGAGATTATCACTTCCTTTTCGACTTCTCCATGGTATTTATCTGGACCTCTTTTATTACATCGATCTTATGCAGCAGTGTTTTATAGTGATTTATAAGCTTAATGGGTTGTTTTCCTGTTTGTTTTGTTTTGCACCATTTTGTTTATAAGACAACGATTTCTTTGAATCTCATCTTCTCATGAAGGGACTTCAGATTTTTTTAAATTAATTTATTCAATTGAGTTGAATTCAAAGAATATCCTACAAATTTTACTCCATGTGTGAGTCTTGCAATTTCATTCTTTTGGGGGTAATTCTCATTCTGAGAAACTAGTGTGGTTTGTGGTTTAGAGTCATGGTTTAAACTGCCCTTAGGAAGAATGAAAAACAGCTGGTGTCCAAGGAACTCTGGAAATTTGTCAGTAAACTAATTGTAGAACAGAAGCCAAGAGTAAAGAAGTTTGGCTTGCATATCTTAAGCTCTGTCTATATTATTACTTTTTGAAATTTATGAAAAAACTTGTATGTATGAGATAAAATATTATTATAAATGATTAGAAAACTTCTATTAAAATGTAAATAGTACAGTCTTCCCTTGTTATCCGTGGGGAATTGGTTCCAGGACCCCCGTACATACTAAAATCTGCAGGTGTTCAAGTCTCTTAGGTTAAATGGTATAGTATTTGCATATAACCTACAGACATATTTCTAGATTACTTATATTACCTAACGCAATGTGAGTGCATTAGGTATTATAAGTAAATAGTTGTTATACTGTATTGTTTAGGGAATAATGACAAGAAATAAAAAGTCTGTACATCAGTAGGTATGGCTACATAGTACACGACAGCAGCAACGTAACATTTTCTTGAATAATTTTGATCCGTGGTTGGTTGAATCCATGAGTGGAGAACCTGGGATGTGAAGGGCCAACTATAATATTGAGATTAATGCTACAATTTCAATACACAAGAATTCATGGGGATTTCAATTAAATTCATGAAATAATGGTAGATCACTGTCTACGTGCAAGAAATTGCCCAAGAAAATAGTAACACAAAGATAGACAAACATATACTTAGCATCCTGAAAGCTTAAAATTAGGAAGTGTGCAAGAAACATACAGATACCTATAAATCAAGTTCAATTTTGCTGAGAGCTAGACATAATAGGTTATGGTGCTTCAAAAGAAGGAGGAAGCAAATATGGTTGTGATTGTGAGAAATGTCAGCAAAGGACACAGCGTTCTGATTAAAACCTGAAGGGTAGGGTTATAAATAGCGGAAGACGTTAACGAGGTGACATTAGCAGGAGAGGAAATGGCACGGGAAAAGGTTCAGAGAGAAAAGCTGAATGAAAGCGATTGCTAATCAGGCCGGTGCAATTAGGAAAGGCCCTGAGCTGAGTCCGCCCTCCGCCAGGCTCCCGTGGTGACGTCACGTCACTCACGGGTGGGGATCATTTAAACACGTGGCTGGTGGCCAGAGCGAGCCAAGTGTCCCAGGTTTTTGAGGTACATAGTAGGACTGACTTTCAGATTGCTCACAATCCAAATCAATGCCGAACAAGTTAAAATAAAAGTAGCGGTGTTCGATTGAGATCTGTACTTTCCTCCTGACCTAGAGATTGAAGTCACTTACATCCCTGCTCTGATCTACAAGCTGCCTATTATATCGTACTGCCCTCAGAGTTTTTCTGCGTCTTCATGAGATCCAATGAATTAATTCCAATTGGTCAATTTACTCAAAGAGTCCTATGATTTCACTAAATCGAGCATGTTTTTTTGAACGAATCAGTTTTCTCCTGCCTCAGGGACTTTGCCCTTGCTCTCCCCTCTGCCCGGAATGGTGTGTCCACACCCGCCAGTGTGGGTCACTCTCTCACCTCTCTCCAGGACACTCTCACCAAGCAGTTCGCTAACCACCTTGTTAAATATCACAGCCTCACCAGCACACATGCTGTATTTTTCTTCATAAACTTACTATCTTTGAAGGTAGTATGTAATTTATTTATTTATCTCGTTTGTCGTCTGATTTCCCACCCAGGTGGCCAACGATTGACTGTTTTGTTCATGCTTAGAATAGTGCCTAACATATAGTAAATGCTCAATAAATAGCAAATGAATAAATATATGTACAAATGAACTACAGGCAGTGTTTACATGATAATTTGAGACAGTCATGTGTTACTTTTTAGAACTTAATTGTTCTAACTACGATTTCTCATCAACTTTACTGAAGTAAGGAGGACTTATAAAACATCTACTATATAACCAGCGTTGTATCTGTTTCTTACAAAAGAAATCATATGAAAGAGCTCCTACATTTGAAAAGCAGACAAGAGGGGGATGACAAATAGAATATGACTACTATGGGATTGTAGCTGGCATTTTAAAGAAGGAAACAAAGATATCCTGACATCTCCAGGGGTTTCCAGCAGTGGAGCATCTGCTAGATCTAGCATATGAAAAGATGCTCCCACTACCAGCATGGGCTTTGAAATCGCGCAGACCCGAAGTCTAATTGCAGGGATAATGTTCCATATGGATAATGACCCATTCCCCCTTGGCCTAGACATGAACTTCTCTGGGTCTCAGTGATTTCATTTGTAAAATGGAGATCACCATCTTGACCCCACAGGGAAAATGTGAGCTATCAAATGAGATCATCTGTGGAAACAGTTAGCCAAGTCCTTGGCACATAGAAGCAACTAAATAAATGCATGTGGAATGAATTAATTCTTGATCAGTGGGGAAAGATGTAACTAGAAAAACGTGGCGTTTTTCAGTCTATTTCTACTGTGTCGTACCCCACCTACGCCTTTACTCATGAGACTCCCTCTTCCCTCGGTGCCATTGAAATAGTGAATTGCATTATATGCCAATTGGTTATTATGTAAATTATCATCCCCACTTTACAGATAAATAGATCGAGTCTTAACACCTTGAGTAACTTACGCAAGGCCACAAAGTAAGCAGCAGAGTTAGGATTTCAGCCCAGACGAGCTTGTCTCCAAAGCGGGCTCAGGTGTCTCGATTCTCACCTTAGTCTTAGCGATGCGGTTACCTCCAGGAAGCAGTGCCTGAACCCACACTCTGCGTATAATACCTTTTTGAGCTCACATAGCATCTCATGCACATTTCTCTCATAATTGACGGTAATTTCGAAAACGGGTTTCTTCCCATCCTTTCTACGTCTGTACATCACCTTCTAGAAACACGTCTTCGGTGTGTGTAACTGTCTCTGCTTTTAGGTCTTGAATAGGTTTTCACTGGGCACCTTTCATAAGAAGTTCACAGAAACCCATAGAAGTTAACGTTTATTTAACACCTCCTTTGCGGTAGGCTCTGGTCAAACTGCTCTATCACTCAACACATACATCCCTCCTAACAATTCTTTGTGGCGGATGCTGCCTTCATCCTCACCTTAGAGACGACGAAAATGCAACACGAGGCAGTGAATTCACTCGGCTTACATTCTAGGACTGGGGTTTGAACGCAAGCATGCAGATGCCAGAGCGCCTATTCTTAATCACGTGACTCTTGCCCCTGATACACCCCTGTTCTTTTCCTCTGAGTACATTTTCTTTTCCTCTTTCTTCAAAAAATCCTAGAAAAATACATTTTTATAGAGACTAAATTATACTTCTATGGATATATTTGGCAAGCCTTTATTTTTCCTGTGACACTGATAGCTGCATTTAGTCAAACTTAAAAAGCTTCTGTAAATAAAGTAGATGAATTTATAATCTGATAGAAATCCCAAAATTTTAGGTTAGCACATAAGAAAAATTGTTAATGGTACCAGCACCCGCCCACCCAACTTAGAAATCCGTATTGGTGGTCTTCATTGCCTTCAACAGGCTCCAAGCTGTGCTCTTGGAAGTGCTGGAATTTAAACCATAACCTTGCTTAAATCCAAAATCAAAACAAAGAAACTTTAGAAAGACATCTATCCTTTCAATACCAACTTAAAAAAAAAAAAAAAAAAGCTTTCTAATGATTTAAACACAGAGAGCCTATTTTTAAGAGAGAGCAAAGAATGTGTTCATAGCTAGTTGGAACAGTGTGCAAATGCACTGGGTTCACTGCTATCTGAGTGACAAAGCATTAAATCACAAGGAGGAAAAAGTCAGCATGTTCTTTGAGAATACAGATAGATTAACGTCGGAAAGAGCTTCGTCCAAGAAAGGGAAAAAACACCTACCCAGAGAATAAATCATGCACAGGAAACCTATAATTTTTAAAAATTACTTTCAAGAAATGTTTTAGCTAATAAATATGACTATTAGACAAGGTATAGGAAAACTTTAACGTGAAATTTGTTTTAAAAGTGGACCTTCCGGATGTAGTAAGTCAACATACCCCACTCTTTATCTACGTTTCTTATATAAGACCTGATTTATCGATGGTTGTGGGACCCACAAAAGATAGTTAGACCTCCCCTCCTGTTTAATTCTATGATGGAACAGTACTTAAGCTCACCAGGCACATAAGAACCTTTCGCAAATTAAAATGTGTAACAAAGTTCCCCACTCCCGTATCTCATCACGTCTAAACACTCATTCGATTCTTCTAACATACAATTCAAATACAGCGCTCTCAGAACTCAAAGAAAACAAATCCGTCTTACCATATATTCCATATTGGCTGCTGGTGGGAACACTTTGCCCCGAACTTGGTTATGGTAATCAAGAATCGCGATCATGTCATTTTGCGAAATGTAGCGCTTCCGCCGTGCCTTGGGGATGTCCGCAGAGTCTAGCTGTGCTGTGAGAGCTGCTTCGATATCAGTGAAATTATTGGTTGGCGAGGATGAGTCAGTGGAGTTGAGTAAGACGACAGCGCTGGCTTCACAGAGAAGGGAGAGCAGGACGGCGCTGCTCACGGCAGAGATTGCTGTCATTTCGAGGGGCGGAGGAGAGGCCACCGAGGTCACTTGGCTTTGAAATCAGAAAGGTAGAGTTAGGGTCGATGGAAGGGAAAAAAAAGTAGGTCCAGAGAGTCTGGATTTACAAGGCACTGTTTGGGAGCATTGTGTGATTCGATTTTCTCCCCCAAAAATCCAAACAAATGTTGAAGTCTCAAGCCTAGGTGACAACCTGTAACGGTCTCTTTACATTTTACTCGGTGTTATGAGGCAGGTTCCCGAGGGGAATTTTCTATAGCTAGAGAAACATTAACAGCATGACTACTAATTCTAAAATGAATGAGAACCTTCTGCCCTCGATGCCTGAACCACAGAATGCATCACTGCAGAGTTATTTTCAGAGGGAAATCTTTAGGAATTGCAATTCATCTGGAGAGTGAAGAGGAAAAATGCATCCCAGGTAACAACAGAGAATGTGCTGATCATGTCTCCCAGATATATATGGACACCGAGTGATAGAACACATACAAAAAAAAAAAAAGTCATAATAATCCAACCTCATTTCTAAAAGTAAAAAAAAAAAAAAAATGTGAGCTACTTTAAAATCAATGCATGCAAAATAAACTCGTTGAGCTAAATAGCTTACCTCTGCACAATGCCAAACTGAATATTTTGTTCTTCCAAAAATTTAAAGTTCTTTGCTAGGTTGTAGGATATGAACTCTTGTAAGAGAAGTGTGTCTTATTACAAACTCTCAGAGAGCAAAAGCCTGCAAGGTTTGAATGCTGCTGGCCCCAGGAGCAGCTAACAGCTTTTATATGTCACAGTCGGCAACATCCAGGAAGGGCAGGCTCTCTCATGGTCTCTCCTAGCCAAAATCCAAGGGGAGGGGTTTGGGATAGAAAAAACAGTGATTGGGTGGCAACCTTTTTTATGTGGGTGGTGAGGAAATTGAGTCACACCCACAGCTTACAAAGTACAAACCATAAAAGACAAACCCCTTTTTCTCTGGGCTTCCACATTTTCTGCGAGTGGTTAATTTTTCCCATTTAATAGTTCCTAGTTCCTGATTCCCATACAAAAAGAAAAAAAAGGGGGGGGGAGACTATGACTTCTTGAAAACACAGACGAGTGAGTAACAAGCAGTATACTTTTTTTTTTTTTAAGATAGTACATGACATGGGAGCTGAAAAGAGCGAGCTGATATTAAATCAAAAGATCAGCTCACACAGTCAGTCTGAATGGCCACAAACATGGTTCACGAGGGATGCCAGACAAATCAGCAGTAGCCAGACCGTAGCGTGTGATATTAGGATGACAGATGCTCAAGCATTTGGGCTCTTTCTCCATGTGGTTTTATGCCTTTAATTTCTACATCTATTCCCTCTCTCTCTCTCTCTTTCATTTCATCCTCCCTCTCCCTTTTTCCTTTCTCTACGATGTGAGGCAGCAAATTACCTGCCTTTAATTTGCCTTGCATATAATGCAAATAGACAAGCCCATGACAAATGACAGCAGCCAAGATAACATCTGTTTCAGGTTTAGAAGCATATAGTTGAAATTTTAAGCAGAGAGTGGCTCAGCTTCTTGGGAAGTGTATTGGAGGGCACCGCACAGAGTCTGTGAAGAATTTAACAGCAGCAGCCGCAGCCTCCAACAGTCAGAAGGGCCTTCTTAGAAAGATGCCATGGGAGTGAAATCTGTGTCCGGCAACACAAGAGCCAAGAATGTGGATTTTAAGGCAATGCATAATAAAAAGAGACCTTTAAATATGCCATATGTTCTGATAACAAAACGTGGCCCGTTCACAGTCAAGGGCAACAGGGATCCTGGAAAACACACGTTATTCAGTTTAGAAACTTACTTAACAATGCACTGACTTGTCCAGTGTCCCGATGTGCTTGTCTCCTGCATGTGTCTGCAGGAGAAGTACTACGAGAACTTACAGTCGTCAGAAAGCGTGGTCACGTGGTTAGAAGCACACCGGGCTGAGAGCCAAGTTTCCTGGGCTGTATTCCCAGCTGGGTCTCCAGCAATATGTGTGGCCTGATGCGTATTGTTTAACTCTTCACTGGTGCATCTAAAAATGAGAGGAGAGAAAGGTGTATATCTTACTGTGAGACTGCTTTTGTCAGATCTCCTAAAAGAGCAGAAAAATGTTGGAAGCCAGAGGTACCACTGAAGTTCAAAGAACAGTGACGAGATGCAGTCTGAGAGGTCGATAACATGTGTCGAAAATTCAGATTTCACTATATTTTGATGAGCATCAGTCTCCCAACTAAAGTGAAGTCATTTTCGGAGAGCTTGAGTTGCAAGACTGAAAACTGTAAATAGGACTTAATTAACACTGTAGAATTGAAGAGGCAAGACCCTACACGTGCCAGAGGCGAGCGGGGATCGTGCGAGATATCAGAGCAGCTGGAGGAAATGCACGTGACCGTCCACAGCTGCGGGTGTTTAACCGCTGGAGCTGTCCAGCTAGGGTCTCACCCTTCAGAAAGTGCTCATGGCGCCTCGAATGAATTTCAAGGATGCTGTGGTAAGGATTCCTGAATCAAATGGGAGGTCAGACAACACACTCTCTATGGCCCGTCCACCTCGAAGGCCCCAGACCCTGTTGAGAAATGAGTGCCAGCACTCATTACCTGTGCTTTTCAGCACACGTCATGTAGCTGTCTGGCCTATAGGGGACTAAAGGACTTTTAATGCCTAAGCAGTGAACGTGAGCCTTTCTTTCTCCAGAGTGGCTGAGTTCTTGCTTAGACTCTCTAAATAACAGCCTTTGCTTCCAAGGTCACCTCTTTGTCATGCACACAGAGAGAGATTGTCCATCTCTTAGAGTTTGACTTGAGAAACTCCCATACAAATAAGAAAGTGTTCCTTGAGAAACTCGTCTGAACCATAAGTGGCTTTCCTTTGAGAGAAACCGAAGGGATGGAGGAGGACAAAGAGAAGGAATTTTGGAGATATACCTCAACATGCCCAGCATGAGGGTAGAGCTGGCGGTTGCTTCATCTTGAGACCCCGAGGCCCGTCGATGATCTCAGACGTCTTCCAACACCCGTGGGTTACATCGCAGACCGTACAGGAAACCCGCAAGGCTGTGGAATCATAAACAAAAGATCTGCGGGGGGGAGAGTGATGAATTCTGCTTCCAAGCCAACTTTATTGCCAGAAGGAGTATTTGAAATGCTTTGAAAGTAACTTTAATTTTAAAATACATGCAAAATTAAGAGCATACCTCCAGGTTGTAATTAAAAGAACTATTAATGAACAACTAACAGTGAGGGTGGTCTTTATGAGATCTCTTCTTGAAAAGGACCACTGACATGTTTAGAAACATTTAGGGGAATGCTCGCCAACAGAGACGGCAGCGGAATGCAGTGACATCACTGAAAGGAAATGTGTATGCGATTGGCAGCAACTATTGTCCACCTCGAAACCTGTGAGAAAATGGTTGTGGTTTTAAAATTGGAATCAGATACATTGTAATTGTCTCAGAGTATCACACCTGCAGGGGTACTTCGGAGGGTGTGTGTGTGTGCGTGTGTCTGTCTGTCTGTCTGTGTACAGATGCGCGTGTGTCTTCAGTCTAAATTTTTTTCCAATCTAACTGTGTTCCGTGGATCAGTAGCATTGGCGTCGTAGGGAATGCAGAACCTTAAGGCCCCGTCCAAGACCCACTGAATCGGATTCTGCATCTTATCAGAATCCTCAGATGATTCATATGGTCAGAGTTTGAGAAACTCTCTAAATCACTTTTTTCCTGAGACACACAGACAAACCTAATACACCACATGCCCATTAAATAAGCTATTTGTAAAAGTCCATTTATCTAGTATCATGGGGAGAATCAAAGTCGATATAGGTATATACAGGAATCTTTGAAGAAGGAAACACAAGTCGGCCTCTTCTGTATAAGAAAAAAAAAAGATGACTGGGAAAAGTATATACATATAGCATCTCACAAAGAAATGATTTAGTAGAGGTCAGAGCCTTTTGAAGATTACTGTATAAACCAACTATTTGTTATTTAATACATATGAATTTATCACAAGGTTGTTGAAACAATGGAATGCAGTATAAATGAAAATGTTAGGTAAATTGTGACATGCCACATAAATAGAAGCCATAACTTTACTCTGTCATCCTAGGACAGAGTCCTAAATTGTCCTTTGGTCCTCACTCTTTCTCACCTTGTTTTATATATCCGCTAGCTCTGCCAAGCCTGTGGATTTTTATTCCTAAAATGTCAGCAATCTACTCCTTTTTTCTTTTATAATTATTATGTCTGCTTAAACTTAATCCCCTTATCTTTTTCTAGGATTACTCTGGTGTCTCTCATCTCATTCATTATCTGTGTTGCCTTTGGTAACCCTCCTAAAAATTGAATTGAATCATTTCACTCATTCACAGGGAACTCTCTATAGGTTCTCCATTGTCCATGGGGTCAAGTTCAATTTCCTTGAACTTGAATCACTTTACCTTTTAAGCCTAATTTGCTGCAACCATCCATTTCTGTTTCTCTACCCCAGCCGCACCTATGTCCCAACTGCACTTAACCACTCTCCTTTTCTGTAAGCTTCAGTAAGTTGAGAAGCCCAGGTGTGTTGTTCGGTGGGTAGGGTGGCAGCCTTTTTGCCTCTGGTAATGTCATTATTACAAATAATTGTGAGTTATTATAAAAGAGCTTAGCAAGCAGTAAGATAACATTGCATTAGCTGTGCATTAACATCTCTTTAATAAATTTTTTTTTTAATTGTAGGTCTCATATAGCATTCTAAAGTCATCAACATTTATAAATGTCTAAATGATCTTTGCAAACTTTTTTAAACCTATTTAGCCACTTATAACCACTAATCAACCTAAAGTATATGGAGGGGATGATTTAATAAAAGGTGGAGGCCTTGTGAGAATGGAAAAGAGTTTTAGTGTTAATATGTATTTCTATTTTGTAGTGTTGTAGAGGATCATGAATTTATTGGATTCAGAAAATGTGCAGGATATTTATACAAAATACTTTCAAATTTTGAGCCCTCTGTCTAATACTATATATGATTATATATGTAGTTATATATACGATATTAAAAACATACATAATTATGACATGAAATACCAAAACACTACATTTTCAAAATATTTGAGAAATTCTATGAAATACCTATGTGATATATTATAATATAATTTATTACATAGTATGGTGAAACCAGATTCAAGTATCAGTGCTTTAACTTATCATTATCTCTTCTTTTTGTCTTTCTTACAAAAAGTGATTAGGAACTAAATATCACATAATGATATTTCTGTGATTATTCCAACTTCTGTGTGTTTATTTTTCTCCAAATAAAATAACTAAAGAAAGAAAGAAAAACACTTTTGGTTTTCTCCACTGGAAAAGCATAAACTGTAACAACTTTAAGTATGACCAAAGTTGAGCTTTCTCGTTGGAAGTCGTTCTGAAAAGCATGTTTCCAAAGCATTCTTTCTAGATCCGTGGCACAGCTTGATTCTAAAAT